TTTATCGCACTGAACAGAGAATTGACTGAAAGTGATTAAGTCTTGAGACTGGACAACACTTGATATGAGGTGTTCGAAGTTTAATTCTTCTGAAATATTGTGACCAAATTTATTTGGAATCTTATTTATAGATAATGGATCATCAAGGTAATTAGCATCTATCAAAATTGTATTAAGTTTTTGATCATCATTTGATGCATCTGACATATTTTCTGGTAAAAGAGAATCTTGATAATAAGATTTGTCAAAAACATCTGTCGCAGACTGATGAGAACCATTTGAAGCAGTTGTATTCAGTGTACTGCTCGATTTGTTTTCTGTTTCATGGGTGGTTATTGCGACAATTCTATGAGCATTTACCAGGGAGTGTGTTTGTGAGCTGGATAAGTCACCGTCTGCACATGCTGTTTTGGGGATAATGGAGTTTGAGTCCATTACCGGGCATGTTTCTGGAATGGAGAGGACTGGACCACTGGGCGAATCTTGAGTGACTGTTGTACCGTTTGAAATACGGTTTATCGGGGGTTCATTGGGGCTGCAATCATTTTCCAACTCTGAGTGCAGTTGAGAGATCAATCCATCCACTTCCGTTGCATCTCCAAAGCATGAGTGATTTAAAAGCTGCGTGCGTAATTTGACTAAAAACTCCAACTGTCTTTCAAATAGCAGCTGTACTCGATCGGAAGGGAGAGTCATTTTTTTTTATTCAGCACCGGTAATGCAAATTACAGTTTGATTAATGACCAATGTTGCTCAAGGACACTGATGACAAATCTGGATGCTGAAGGCTGACTTTGGATTGTTCTTTTTTTACCCCGTCGCCAATTGTTATGGCTCAAGAGAGACAGCCGATTATATGACAGTGACTTATCGATCGGATCAAGGATTCAGAATCTCGATAGCCTATTCTGGTCCGTTGTCCCCAACTCTGCTAACTCGATCAAGAAGTCTGGGTAAGGTGTAGAAAGTGTATTCTACAGACAAACAGCAGATCACAAGTCAGGCAGGCAGATCCGATCAAGCATACAAGTCAAGCGTATTTATACAATTATTTACAATCGATATTGTCATGGAAGATTTTTGAACATTAATCAACAATTGACTGCTATTTGAACATTTAATCGATAGTTCATCAATTGACCTATTTGTACATTTAATCGATAGTTCATCAATTGACCTATCTGCACATTTGATCGATAAGTAAATTACAAAATTTGAGTTTTGGGGATCTATAGATCCACAAAAATATCACAGCCCTCACACATATCAATTGAGATCTGTGTGGCGCATATGTATTTGGTGTCTCCTTGTACCAATATCTATGTGTTAAAATAAATTCTTTGGATATTTGCAGATGGAATTTATTGTTTTTAAATGATATAAGGCTTGAATCTTCTAATAGTTAAGCGCGGTTAAAAACTTTCGAAACTATTTTTCTACGGTTTTATTTTCTTATTACCCTGGTTTTAAGCTTTTATTTGAACCGTAATTTGTTGTTATAGCATCCGCCACTCATAAACTAGAATTAATTATTTGTGTAACACAGGTTCCAGTTTTCCTATTATTAATGTTGTTATTCCGTCTTAATACTGTTACCCAAATTGGTATGCTGTGTGACTTGGTCTTATATGTATATATATATGAATATGAGAGATTTAATAATCTCCGGGAGGTGAACATTGGTCTCGCGTTCGTCCTCTTCGTTCGGAGCCAACCGTCAGGCCTAGAGTATGTCTTCCAAGTCCATGATGTTTATTAGTCGCTTAAGATCGTCCACGCGTATTGGTTGGTTGTAGGACGTCACAATATGCGATACACAAATCATTGAACTTGTATGTGGGCTGGTATACTGTCCCATGGTAGCCGGTGACCAAGATTAGGTTCGTACGCCATTTGTCTCATTAAAATCCTTGGGCCCATGTGCACCTTTACTTTGGAAAGGGGTTTCCAACTCCCCTAGATGAATCCCTTGTGCCTATTGACCGGGTTGAAGCACTGGACTTCTGCTTTTCTAAGTATGAATATTGTAAATAACACCCCTACCGCTGGAAAGCAGTGAGTAGGAATTCCCTGGCACTGGCCATATACACGTGGCCATACGATAACATTTTGAGAGGGGGGCTCTCCCCACACTGTATGAATAATAACAATGGAAATTTTGTAAAAAAAGCTATCACCTTTGGTAGATCTTCGTCATATATGGGTGCAAAGCCTCTACAAAATCGGAAACAGCTAGTCATGCTTATTTTGGTGCTAATTATTTATGTACGAACAAATATGTACTGTTCTTCTAGCGTTTAGTCATCTCTACCAAATCAATTCAACTTGTTTGAGTGGATAATTCGGCTATACGAGCAGTTAACACTCGATTACACTGTATCACTGCAAATCATTTAACGATCATCATTCTATTCATTTATTTAACCAGACCCAAACATTATTACTAATCATAAAATCCTCTCCAATAATCACAGATACGAACTCTAATCAGTTTACTTCAAAGTCTTAGTATACTTCACCGAATAATTCTGACTTGATATTTAGTAAAATAAACTACACTAAGCTACTAAGTTGAATACATACACGTCATTGTTATCCTCCGTGGTTCTCCGAGTCTGCTACTGATGTGTATGCTTTCTAGCCTAAACCGGCTACTTGAGCGAAAAAACTAGGATTGAGCATGGAACTTCTATTGTCTGATCGGACCAAATATATACTCATATCCTTCATATATAAGTATGTTTACCCCTTAAAATCAACCCACAGTTTTAACCTATAGTATATGTCTATTTTCTCAGAGAGTTAAGTCAAAACATGGCCAATCAGAATCTCCCAGTCCTCATTAACTCAGATTGTTAGCCAATATTACTATAAGGGTTAGTCGTTTCTGACCAGTTCATTTAATTAGGTACGAAGTACAGACTCCTATTTACTTGGCTGTGAGCTACAAATTCTGTTGAGTGAAGGCTAACGATACAGTGTGACTACATAAACGGAAGTCGATGAAGAAGTGATAGAAAAAGCCAAGTGTTTCAACTACTACACCTGCGAAAAGTAGTTATTTAGTTAATTTCAAAATCAAAGTTTGCCACTTTCCTCACTTTTATTTAAATTTATCATACACATCTTTATAAAGATAATACTGATTGTTTTAACTCTCAGGAATCCACCTTCTACCAGAAGATTTACATAATGACTTAGAATACACAGATGAAATAGTTCATTTTGGCGAAAACGTCTTCTGATCATCTTAAGCAACAGTACAAACATATTTGGTATGGACCACTTTATCTTTAAATCCAAAATGTTTTTAAGGGACTGGTGTGCGTCATGGCGAAACTAAGAACAGGTAGTGAGGTAGTTGAGCGTACGATGACTGCCTAATTTAAAAGTCTCATCAGCCTTAGTAGGTTGCTGTCAGACTGGATCTTAGACCAGATTTAGAAATCCCGTTTGGCTTTCGTCAACTTGAGTCCCATGCATAGTAAACAAGATATCCGTTTACTAACTAAAGAACAAGTATACTATGTAGCAGTTCGTTCCGGCTTATTATACGGTTATGAAACAAAGCTTTTAAAAACAGAGGATATACGTAAGTTACTACTTTTCGATCGTGGGTGTATTCAAACTATAGCTCGTGCATTTTGGGACTATTGAATTAGCAATTCTAACGCTGGGAGCGGAGTATTAGCTAAGTATGGAAAATCGACTGATGAAGTAGTGAATCTTTATCGACTGAGATAATTATGACATGCATTACGTGTACTCATCCACCGACTACCACGATACATGATGATGATTGGTGTATGAGTAGATTGGAAGGAAGACAGGAGTGTCAAACTACGACATGTGATCAGTCTATGACAATGATTGTTGAACTGAGCCATGTAGATAGGTAGGTGCAGATTAACTAATTGAGATCCATGTGATTATCGTTACCAAAAGTTACACTTTCAATGACATGTCTCAAAATCATTTGTAATGGTAAAGGTCCATTTACTTTTTGCTTTTCTCATAGATCCTAAGTTTTTAAATAACCTTATATATTTTGCCTTTATATATTTCGCTAATCGATATTATCTGCTCAAATCGTTATTATTTTAACTACATTTAGTACTCTGTGATTTATTTTAACAATTTCATCTTACTGGGCTAATGGAGTTGTGAGGACAGTCCACGGGTGAACTCGAGGAGGCTCGAAGAAGCTCAGAAAGAGCGGAAGATAATCCATGAAACACCTTTTGGAAGCCACCGGTCGGGTGTATGTTCGGAAGGAAAATCCGGACAGTATGTTGCCGCCCAGAAAGACAAATAAACCCACGAATGTGTATGGTACGGTCACTCGTAGCTTCCAGGTGGACGAAAGGATACCTTTCAAACCGTATCAAGGTGATAGGAAGTGGGAACCAGGTGTTATAGAACGTCAGATCGGAAGTGTACTGTACCTGATCCGGAGAAATGTCGGAACGTGTATAAAACACATAAATCAAATTCAAAGGGACGACAGAACATTGATCCCACAAAGCCGACTCCAGTTTCAATTGCTCGTGAATTCACCTCAAAAAAGCCCTCAGGAGCGCGAATGTAGAAGATATAAAAGACGCAAGGGCAAAGCGGTACCACCTTTGAGAGTGATGGACCCATAGAGGAATGCAGTAACCAAGTTTCAGGTGGATCCGAGAACAAAGTCTTACACAACAGACTTTAAAGGGGGGTGAGTACGGTCCACGGGTGAACTCGAAGGAGCTCTAAGAATCTCAGAAATAGCCGATGATATTCCATCCAATCATCTTTTGGAAGCATATTCCAGAATCCCTACGTGTAGCTTCCCTATTGGACAAATGCTAATAACGCCCTGTGTGCAGATTGGATAACTATAATGATGATTTCGTTTTTTTTTTCTAAATAAACTATAAATACCTGACATTTTTGTACCATAATTGACACTGCTTGGAATAACATTCGTTTCAATTGTCTTCTATCTTTTCATTTGCGAATTGGGAGGGTTCTAGTGTCCGAGTGCTCAAGTTATACGCGGTATATAAAGAAACAAACCTTTAGATATAACAAGGATGTTGTGATAACATGAATCGATGTACACACTTGTATCACATTCTACATTAAGTATGACTGATCCTCTTAGTAACAACAAATAAATTGTACAAGAGTAATAAGAATAACCGAAAACAAAACAAACAAACAAACTACTTGACGAATGTGTATATACATGAGATTGTTATCCATGTGTAGCATCATCATATTTACATTTTCTTATTTATTCTTTATTTAGTACATAATATTATGTATTTTTAGCTGTACGTTTTTGTTTTCGAGTTTTCTTTTGTTTTGGTTTTGATGCTGCTGCTGCTGCCGCTAATCGTCCACGATGACGATGACGTTTTTTTGGACCGAAATGTTTTGGTAAAATTGATGATTTTTGTTGAGTATTATTTTTGGATAAATATAATTTCTTTTTTAATTTATTAATATAATTAGGATTATTATTCATTTTAGACTTTTTATATATTGTTGAATTAGATGACTTTGATGTTAATATAGACTTAGTCTTTTGTGAATTCCTTTCAATATTCTTTGTGAATAATTGTGGTGTTGATGATGATGATGATTCTTTGGTTTTAGACTGAAGCATCTATTTGTTTTTTTTTGGAAGATAAATCAAGAAAAAGAGAACATAAAATGAGGAAATATATACATACATATCAATCGTAGAGAAGGGAGAGTTAAGATGGATTAACAAGGTAAAAAAAATTCCTAACTATTTCATCCAGTTCAGCAACACTCTACCCCCACCCCAAATGCCCTGGTACAGATGAGAGTGGGGAGAGTCAACTCTCCCTAGCCAAATGCTCTCACATGACCACGTGCATACAACCACTGCCAGGAAAGTCCTACTCACTGCCTTCTCGCGATATTACTGTTGTTTACAAAACTGAGAGGAAGAAACGCGAATATCCGGCGCTTTAACCAGGTTGGTGAACATGAAAGGTCCTCCTAGAGGAGATGGTAAATCCAGACTCCATTCCAATGTTGCACACGGGCCCAAGGATCCTAAGGAAACAAATGGCGTATGAACCCATTGTTGGTCACTCTCTACAATGGCACTGCATCTCCTAACGTTGCTCCACTGCCTTTTGGATTAGACCAATTAGGTTAAAGGCTTGGAGTGTGGTCCCCTAAAAATACCACCTGCTTCAGTTTGGGCACCCGAGCAGTCTCTCAGCCCTCACATAAATCTAATGATTTATGTGGCGCATATCTGTTTGGTGCCTCCTCGTACCAATGTTTATGTGTTTAAGTAATAATAATAGTAATAATAATAATAATAACAATAATAATAATAACTATTTCACTCTGTGATTAGCCTCAAATCGGAACACAATAATAACATTAGTCTATTCTCAACCAATCGGTACTAATACAAGAGTCGGGAAGATACTAAAAGATTCTTATGTAAATTCTATAGAAACTCTCAAATTTTTGCCATTGGATGTTTGTTTTTCGAGTTATCGGAATATATATACAGGGTTCACCCTGATATTTTTTTGTGATTTGCTAAGAGTCGAGTGATGTATAGTAGTCCAAGAAATACTGAACAACAGAAGAACCATAATAAACGACCTAGCCGATTCATTCTACTTTAGGACTCCCTTCAATTCAGTAATACTGTATTCACTAAGAAACTACAACAGTTTCTGGATCCGATCGCTGGTGGTAGGGTTTGAGGTGATCAATACTAATAAACTTTACACTAAGATGAAATAATTTTTCAATGATTTAAGTGGAATGGTAGTCTCTGAGTCAAATGGTTCAATCGTGAAACATTCATTATCTTTGTAGAGAGTATCGTGAACAGAAACATCAGAGCTATTAAAATTTCGCCGGAAGCGACTGATAATTTGTTTTGGTCATTAATCTGGATCATTCACCTCTCAGACATAGTAATTAACCTCTTATCAATTTATGATTTTTCTAAATAGTTGATAAATCATTTCAATGTTTATTGTTGGTTGATATAGACAGCAAGCTTTTAAAGATTCTCTGATCTTATTTATAACCTTCGTTTACAATTTCAACATTCTGCTAGCTGGAGATGCGTCCACAACTGTCCAGAAGCATGGTTATGGGCGAAGATATATCCCATAACTTGAAATCTGATCGATATCTATTTAAGCAAAGATGAAGAGAGAGGTTATTTTGTCTGATATGTTTTCTAGAATTAAAGCTGCTGATTTTATAGATGATGTTCGGCATGCCTTCTCTTGTCCTTTCATTTTTTTAGTTTATCCACTTATTTTTGAAGTAAGTGCTGATGATGAAATCGTCTAGATGGATAGTATTAGCTTCATGATTAAACCACTGAGTTCAGAGAGTGCGACTTCGCCAAAATCATTCTCCTGAGCTATTAACATTCTCCATCTCATATCAAGTTATTCAATACCCTTTGATTTTAAATGTTTTTGCAGTCCACCTCACTCAACCATAACATCTAAATTTACATTTAACATTCTTCACAAGCAATGCTATATATACAGTTACTGTTGTGTGTATGGAGTTGTGAAGTACTATTTAAGGCATTCGACTTTCAGTCACTAAGCCACAGATTTGAACTCCTTCCCAGCGACTTCGGTTTGCAAAACCAGACAGTATCAATGAACCTCACATTTATGTTGCGGTTCCAATAATCGAAGAAATCACCATGGCTATCAGACAAATCAAGAGTAGGAAAGCAGAAGGACCTGACACTAAACGACCTGAAGCAATGAAGTCAGACATAAAAGCAACTGAAAACATGCTCCACATTCTATTCAAGAAGATTTGGGAGCAAGAACAAGTACCGACAAACTGAAAAGAAGAATACCTGATTAAGATACTAAAAAAAGATCTGAAAAAGTGAGAACTCAGTTACAGAGGCATCATACTACTACCGGTATCAAGAAGGGTTTTCAACAATGTTACTGAGCCGGGTGAAAGATCCAGTAGACGCCCAACTTCGAGATCAACAGGCTGTATTCTATAAGGATAGATCGTGCACAGAACCAATGGCGACACTACGGATCATCGTTGAACAATCGATTGAACGGAACTCGTCACTATACATCAACTTTCTTGACTTTGAAAAAGTGTTTGACATTGTGGATGGTAGAACATTATGGAAAATTCTTCGACACTATGGTGTACCTGAGAAGATCGTCAACATCATACGCAATTCATATAACGGACTACACTACAAAGCCATGCATGGAGGACAACTGATGGATGCATTCCAAGCGAAGACCGGAGTCAGACAAGGCTGATTACTCTCTCTTTATCTATTTCTTCTGGTGGTTGATTGGATTATGAAGAACTCCACACATGTGAGAGGAAGCACGAAATACAATAGATAGCTTGGATACAGCTGGACAATAACGACTTTGCACATGACCTAACTCTTCTATCCCATACACACCAACAAATGCAGGTCAAGAATCTGATGTAAATATGAAGGCACGGATTGTCAAAGCAAGAGTTGCACTTCCACAATTGAAGAATATATGGAACTCAAAACAACTGTCAACCAATATCAAAGTCATAATTTACAAGACAGTTCTACTGTATGGCGGTGAAACTTGGAGAAATACCACAACCATCATCAAAAAATAAAAGTATTCATAAACAATTTTCTGCGCAGAATACTCAATATCCGTTGGCCGGATACCATCAGCAACAGTCTACTGTGGGAGAGAACAAACCAACTTCGGGCTGAAGCGGAAATTAGGGGAAGACATTGGAGGTGGATAGGACATACACTGAGGAAATCAACAAACTGAAGGGAAAAAGAAAAGAGGAACACCAAAGTATACATTGGGTAGGGAATTAAAAGTAAACGTCAAAAGAATGAATAGCGATTGGAAACAACTAGAAAGGATTGCTCAGGACAGAGTTGGTTGGAGAATCCTGATCAGAGGGCCTATACTACACAAGGGATAACGCGTAAAATTCCAAAATTATGATGTGGCTCATAATTAAATACCTGATGAATGAGTCAATTTGAGTTAAAAATTACTGTTGTGTGATAATTGTAATTTCAGAACTAAGAATTGATTGAGGGATATGTATACATATATTAGTGATTATTTTACCTAATATATATACATTCTGGCACAAACTGTAACCAAAATAAGGATATGCCACACAAATAAAGTGAAATTCTGAAGGGTAACAGGAAGGAGTGAGAGTTAAATTATAAATAAACAAGTGAATACAAATAAGTTAATGAAAAAAAGGTATATAAGCAGAGATACAGTTCAATTAAGAATATAATCAAGAAAGACGTCTTTCAAAGAAGAAAGGTTGTTTCATTTATACGAAGATTGTAATAGAACACTATAGATGAATCGTTACTGCTTTCTATTGAAAGCTACATCTAAAAACAACTTAATCCAATGATTTCGCCATCTCTCTAGGACACCAACCGATGAATCATCGTGAACAAAAAGATATTAATCCTACAAAGCTTTTATTCCATACATCGCCACGTAATAAACTGACTACCTCTCACATTTTCCCTCTAATCCCAAAGTTAGTATCATAAAGGACGATATAGGGACTGCTAAGATGGATGGATGATACGATCGACTCTAAACATAAGTGTATAATAAATGAAATACCATATAACATTGCGTAATAGTACGAAGATTTATATAAACTTTTGCAACTTACCAAACATTTTTCTGCTCTTTTCTGTTTTAATTGTAACGCTCTCATATTTTCCAATGAAAATTCAACAATTGGTCGCTATTGGACAGAAGAAAGAAGAGCGAACAAATGTAAACAATTATCCTTATAATAGGGCAAAATTTTCATATTAGATATTAGTACTAATTACAGTATGTCAAGATAGTTCCACTGTACGGAGCTGAAACTTCGAGAACTATCACAACCATCATCAAAATAGTAAAAGTATCGATAAACAATTGTCTATTTGAGAATCTTCAGATCCGTTGGTCGGATACCATTGGCAACAGCCTACTGTAGAAAAGAACAAACGAACTTCCATCTGAAGAGGAAATTAGGAAAAGACGATGGAAGTTGATAGGACACATACTTTGGAAATCATCAAACTGCATCACGAAGCAAGTGCTAACTTGGGATCCTGAAGGTAATTGGAAGCAGACATCAAGAGAATAAATATCAACTGGAAACAAGTGGAACGGATTGCCCAGGCTAGATTTCGATAGAGAACGCTAGTGAGTAGCCTATGCCCCTCCATGAGAGGTAACAGGCATAAGCTTCGTGAGGGAATTCTCGGAGTTCTAGTGAGGAGCTAATCCGTGTCGAGTAGAGACAGGTATCTACCACAGTACAATGGAAGTTGGTCGCGCAATTTCGGAGATTGGTTGAGGCTAGACATTAACAACATTGGATGCCAGTCGGCTCGGTGGTCTAGAGGTTAAGCGTTCGCGCGAAAGACTGAAAGCCCTGGGTTCGAATCCTACGAGAGGGATCGTGGATGCGCACTACTAGGGAGTCCCAAAATAGGATGAAACGGCCGTCCAGTGCTTCCAGGTTTTCAATGGTGGTTTAACATCAATCGGCTCATAATCTCAATCACTTTCGAAATTGTCAACTTTTCATTCTGACTACTTTTAAAATCATTTAATTGCCATAATCTTAATAACATTCATTGTAAACGGATTTAAATACAAGAACTGTACATTCATTTATGTTAAGGACTAATAAATTTACTATCCGTTGATAACTCTCTCTTTCTTGATTATACGAACTATAACTGGAACAGTGTCTATATTAATACACAATAAGTAACTGTTCCATCTCCATGATAGTGAGTGTTTTGTGAAATAATTACAATCTTTTACCAAACTGCCGAGACTATAATTTATGGAAGACCTTTGAGTGACGCTAAAGTGATCTTGAGAATATTCACCTACTAACTAGAACCAAATGAGGGTTATAAAGCAGAGTGAGGAATCAGGAATATGATTTACATTTGATGGTTAGGGTTAGGAACTAAATTTAGGGTTTCATCACGAACTAGCACCAGCTAAAATGCCAAAACGCTACTTAGTCAAATGGATAAATGAATTTCGTGCCAAAATCCAAGACCTGTTATCTTAAACCTGACAGGTTCATACATATATTATAGTCTCGCCACCAAACTTTATATTAAAGTGCACCAACTAAAGTAGCATGTAATCAGAGTTAATTGCAATACTAATAAGGTAAAACCGATTCCCTTGAACGATCAGTCAAAATTAAACTAGCTGATGCGTGTACTAAAAACGTTATTGTGGATAGCTTGTTACTTAAACTCATGATTTTTATTGTAATTCGTATTTCAAAAGGATGGGCATAGTGGTCTTCTTGTGGAATGAAATGTTAAAGTCAGTATGTTTAGTTTAGGAAGGTTAAGGTCAGGAGTATTAGACTTAAAAATAAGGGTTTGGAAGTTTTAGGATTAGGATCTAGGGTTGAGCGGTTTTAGTCTTATGGGCTAAGGCTAAGGTGTGTGTTAAGGTTTAAAGTATTAGGATTAGGAGCCAACGTTTAGAAGTACTACGTTTCGGAGTTAGGACCTAGAAGTTTTTAGGATTAGGAGCTGGAGTCGAGAGATCTTAAGGTGAGGAATTAGGTTTTTAAAAATGTAGGGCTGAGAATTCGGGTCTATCCTGATTATAGAACAACGATATCCAGCCTAACTTATCGATATTTAGCACTAATAAGTTCATTAATTATTTCGAAACTACTAATCCTTCGTGATTTCATTATTTTTCTATATTTTAGAGCTCTTACACAACAACTGCATTCTGACTGGCTGTTTTTGGTTGGTTAATTATAAGGCCATCCTTAAATTCACCTAAGGTTGTCTGTATAGTATAGTTTCACCATTAACATAATCTATTTACTTAGAACAAGTTTATGTTCACGATACACAGTATATTCGACAAAGTGAACGTTTCGTTCACTTTCGCAAACATAAACGTTAAATATTAAAAGATATGTTATGATTGATTTAAATGCACGTAGACAACCACAGACACAAATTCGTTTGAGAAGACATCGAAAGTTTGGTTAAAGATACCCGACATATCGACTCATACAAAAAAGGTCAATAAACCACATAATTAGAGGTTAACTGGACAAAATAGTCAACTTAAATAAAAGAACTGGCGCTTGGTACCTGTGTGGTTGTGCCACAGGATTGAGCTGTACTATTCAGATTGTAGCGTTAAAGTCTATACGGTGTCTGGTTCCGCTGCTAAACGGGATTGAGCCGTACTGTCTGGGTTGTCACGTGAAAGTCCGGATGGTGTCTGGTTCTCCTGAAAACCAATGTAAAATTACCCTGGCCCACAAAGGTATATTATATATAAAGAACCTACGAATACAACCAATCACAAACAAGGCTTTCAGAACAAAAAAACTTATGACTCGTGGAATAAGTAAGAAGGTCACTTCTACATGAATCAAGCACTGATTATGTTGCCCAGAAATACAATTAAATCATATAGCAATTTAGACAGATCAACACCACTAACAGGCTTATGTACTCGACTTTGGGATGAAGTACATAAGGTAAGATTCGATACCAAGACCTAATTGGATGAGAATCGGGTACTTCAATGAATACCAAATAATTGTTTCACAGTGCATAAATCAATCGACTATCAAATTTACGACAAATTATTATAATAGAAAAACAGTAGTTTACAGGTTTTGATCAAAACACCAGATATTATATAATACACAATTCACTTAATCATCTAACTATTCAACAGAGTGCCAGAATGAAGCCAGAACAAGGTTTTATTTAAAAAAATAGAAGGGAGATGTCAGTAAGTGGAATCATAGATCAATTCTTATAAATAAGTGAATAATTAAATTAAATAACCTACTGTACAGTATAGGACGATGAACTTACTCGATTACTAGGTGGGAATGCATTCGGATTATTATTTAAACCATACAATACACTTAATGCATTTTCATGATTGGTAAATGCAACAAATCCATAGCCAAGTGAACGATATTGTTGTCTGCCTGGTTGAAGATTACGCATAATACGACACTGATGATAGGATTACAAACCAAAGAAAATAGAACAAAATAAACCGTAAAAACAATTTTGTTCATTTACAGCATAAAAATAACAGTAAATAATTTTATATATTTAATTAGGTTATGAACACAGAGTGGATTCCAACCGGCAGATCAGAAGGCAGATATCAGCTAGATCTATGTGGTTTTGACACGAGAAGTTCAATACAGGTCAATACACCTAGCTCTTCGACTACTAATCGTCTATTATAAGATCAAAAGTATCGAAAGCTCTAAAACAAAAGACTAGTATATCATGAGTAAAATAAGATGTGGATTAAAAACGTCTCATAAATCGCATATGATCAACTACAAAAGTAATGATTTAGCAACGACATTCAGGTTGAGTGGTGTTCATGTTAGATTTCTTTCAAGGTGGTTTCAAAATATCAAAGAAGAATCCTAGAAAATCCACTTCTTACATGAGCAACTGTTTTTTTTTAGATATCTCCTGCAAAGTCAAGAATCCAAAAACAAAACCACACATATTTCAATCATACGATATGTTCGAAAAGATTGAAAAAATACAATGTAACTCATTTTACCAAGAACCAAAGTATTTCTCTAAACAAACCTTTTCATTCCATCTTTTTAAACCATATTTCAAATATAATGACATATTCTCAGTGTTTAATCTATCTCGGTAGCACTGCTCTTATAATCATTTCCACTACTATGCTATTCATCTCGTTAATTTTATCCCATGGTGCTAATATGGTATGAGAAAGTAGGCTAAAGCAAATTTATGCCAGATTGTATGTTGATTATGACTAAATGACAGTTTTGTATAAGGGGTACAGACACAAATCAGCTGCCGAAATCGAATTCAACGGAGTGTGGTTCGAACCTGCAATATAGGGGTTGGTAACCGAGAATTTTAACAACTAAGGTACTGAATATATACATATTTAATTACTGGATCATGGGTTTAGATCTCATTCTTACCGCCGTTTATTATCTCCTGTACTGATGCAATATGTGTGTATATAAGTTTAGGACGCAACCTTTTACTTAGTTATCATCCAATAACTACCAGTAAATATATAAAAAACGCTAAACGTATGAGCAAACCGAACCTTAAAAATTGACCATAACAATACTTAAATAAAAACACGTCAGTCATACATTCTAAGCGTACTCACTTCTAAAATTCGGTGGTCTGTACTTTTCTTTAGGAATTTCATGCAAGCAGACTTTAAGTCATCATCGGATACATGTAAGGGTAGATTACGTAGACATAATCGAACATCACTAATAAAATAATTTGGATCAGTTAGTTTTTTCTTTTTCTCTCGCAATAATGCATCCCTTCTGGCTAAATCTTCTTTGCTTAAACCTTCAGCTTCAGATGACCCAGGACGAATAACTATATGAAACAAGAGGAAAGCGACAAAACGTAAAATAAATATTTTGATTCAAAAAATGGTAAAGAGGGAAGAAATCGTGTAATACGATGTATGTCAGTCTTTAAATTCTTCCTCCTATTCACTATTGTGAATAAAGTTTGAAAGGACTCCCGTCTCATTCATGGTTCATAATACAGACTAATCTTGGACAAGCATTGAAACCCAATAAGCATTTAACAGTTGCTTTGTCCTGAAAGTGGAACAACTCAGCAGTACACATCCACGGAAATACCGGAGATTGAACCCAGAATCTTCAAGTCTCGCACAAAGTGGTTAGTTTTAGCCATATTGTAAGTGTAGAGGCTAGTGACGATAACTGGGTGTATAAGCCAGAATAGGTGAAGCGGAGTTTGAATATGCAACTTGGCGGCCGAAATTCGAACACATCACACGAGGTTCTCTTTAGCGGAGCACCATTCGACGACTATAGTATAAATTTATAATCTAAACCCTCCCCTGCATTAATGCACAGTTTCTCACCCCTTCCTACCCCGTGAACTTCTCAAAACTTTTGCCCGATAACATTAGTAATTTCAAAAATGGTATGATCAGTTATTATTGTTTTAGTGTGAACATGAAAGCCGGTAATTTGTGTGATCACTATCTTTTTAAGAGCAGTGAGCTCTGGTAATCACCAGTCAGGATTTGTTCAGCCAGCTACACCTTTAAATATTTAAGCGACAAAAATTGTCAGTCATTAACAACGTAGAACTTCGTACGTACGTATGTACATCAGTTCGAGTTGCCATACCACATTAGCACAGAGATGCAGTTGTCGATTCAAATCCCGTAATGGTGGAGGCGGTAAGAGTATAAGCAGTAATCGGAAACATTAGGGTTTGTAGATGGTATTCAAGGAGTATAATCCGGTGAGATAAATTTTGAAAGAGAAAAAACAGAAAGAAAGGAAGAAAGGGACATGAATAATTCAGAAGACAAGAATTTAGAAGAACACAAAGAGTCGATGCACCTGCGCCATTGCAAACGATTTTGAGACATGTCATTCAAGGTCTCTAATCATCGGTTGCTATCGTCTCGCGGATCCCAACTAGGTAGTCTACACCTACCAACATGGCTCAGCCCACTTGTCAGTGACTTCATGGATTTGTGCCATGTTTTGGTCTGGACTCCCCTAGCTTTCTTCCAACCAACTCATAAGCCGTAAAACGTCGCACATCGAGGCAGTCGATGGTTGAGCATACGTAACACATATCCGAGCCAGCTCAACTGATCAAGTTTCACTACTTCATCAATTGATTTGCCATCCTTATCTAGTACCCGTTCCCTAACAACTGCACTACTTACTCGATGGTCCCAGGATATACGAGCAATATTTCGAAGACACCTATGATCAAATACTAGTAACCTACGGATATTCTCTACTCTTACCGGCCATATTTCACTGACATAAAGTAGGACGGAACGAACTGCTGTACAGTAAACTCGTCCTTTGGTTGGTAGATGGACAAAAATTGTGCACCTGAACATATCGAGCATATACTTCAGTAGCACTCGAATCGGCAGCTTTTTTTAAATATTTATGGTTATAACCTCAAAATTATCATTAGGGATGAGGAAAAACTACAGTCGTTATAATGTCGGCCGCCAACTTCTATCTCAAAGCTCCGTGTTGAATGGATAGGGTCAAGATAAAATATAGGACCAGTTTATAAAGTTACTAACTAGTGATTTGAGATAAGTAAGAAAATGAAGACTTTCTAGTTAGGGTGTGCATGGCAGTCTTAAACTACGATTGTACTGATACGATGTGCAGAAACTTTACTTTCATGTTATCTGCGAATGACTAACATTGATCTTGTAAGTAGATTTCAAAAATACAGCATATGTTAGTGGTATGGAATTCTTTGCTTTCAGTTCAAACACTGAAGGCTAAGATACTCCTTTTGAAGTTTAGATTCTACACCGTAAGTAAGTATATTTACCTGTGAACAAACAAGCAAATCAATGATACTTTATACAAAAAAAGTCGAACAAAAAAGTGGAAGTTTCTCAATTTCAACCGAAATAAGTAAATTTTTCTTCCAAATATTTATAATGAATTACCCCTCGTTTTATTTGAAACTTGACTGTGATGTCATAAAATCTAATCATACTTGATAGTGATTTTTATTTATATCATAATATTCATGTAACTTCCTCAATTTAAAAGATACCAACATTTAAGAAATTTATGTTTTTGTAAACCTAATCACTGAGTATGAGTCAGTTAAAAGAGCCAAAAGGGAAAGTTTAGTGTTGAAAGTCGATGTAGGAGGAATAATCGGCATTGAAGAGGGAGGTCGATTATGAACACAGTGGTCTTGAGTGCTACTAGAGGTATGAGGGTGGTTTTCAATTCCCAGTTGCCCACACCGTGGAAGGGGCCTTCTGGAGGTACCTGAAAATAAAATTGGATTAGGAGTGGTCTCAGTGACCCGAGAGCGTGACCACAGTGCCCAAAGGATGACTGCTTGAGGTCGGTCACACACGACCTTTTTATGGGCAATTTTTGTGTTAGCTCCGTACTTGTTGAGACCTTACCGCCGGAGACGGATATCCGTGGGATAAGGCGAGGTGTGCATTTTTAGGGTCGACCCTTTCTAACCCCACCCCTCCTTGTGGGAAGGCAGCATCGCTGTCATGCTGGTTGTCTGAAGGAAACACCTTACTGCTGACATATCACTGTACAGTCAGCAGTAGGACTTCGCCTTCGGACCTTGGGTTTGCTGCTTTTAGTCTTACCGCTCTTTAACCGACCTGTCTGGCATATTAGAACCTTAAGGAACGATTGTTTCAGTCAGCATAGCTTGGTTGCTTCATTACGATAGGCAAGCCCGACCACCACGTCAAGGTAGCAACAACGGTAAGGACTTAGTATGAAACCGACTACAGTGTATAAAATTCTGATGATGTAGGTCTACAAAACACATTTCATTAACCTGAAAGCATAGCAGAATCCTACTACTAAATAAATAATTAGAAATATATGATATCGGAAATAATCGACCTGTAAATTTGTATTATTAAATTGATCATCGTTATATGAAACGAAGCTAGATGATTTAAAATGCGTATACACAGGAAGATTATCAACTTACTTCCAATAGATGCTAAATGCAAATTACGTCCCTTTTGCTTTACAGCATCTGCAGGGCCTATAAGACCCTCCGAAGCATCATCTTCGTGTTTCCTTTTTCGTAAATTTTGTGCCTCTGTTCTAGAAACAGCAATTGTTATTTTTAAAGTTCGGTTTTCCAAAGAAAATTGATGAGCGTTCTAAATAAAAATACGTCCGTTGTATTATGGAATTGAGTATATTTCTTATAAAGTGTAATATAGTAAACAACAACTTATCAATAAAACATAATCTTTTCCAACTAACCTCAGGTTTATCAGATTGTTGTAAGACATTTGATGCATCCTCAGCATTTACAAACTTTACAAAGGCTGTACCTCGGGAATGTTGTGTTGCTGGATCTTTAACTATTTTCGCAAATTCTAGAGGTCCGAACTGTGAAAAAAATGTGTATAATGCATCTTCTTCCACATCAAAGGATAGGTTTCTGAAATAATACAAGTACAGAGCGATATAACCGGTATTAACGACAATGGTTTTCAACACCATACTTGGAAGAAAATGCAAGTTAACGAAATAATAACTGAAGTGAAAGAAGTTGGTTAAGAAAGAGCGAAATATCAACCAAAGTAATCATGACTGTTCCTTAAGTACAAGGGAGTGTGAAGATTATTGAAGTTAGTTCGTGACGCAGAACTACAAAAGTACCACTTCATAAGCATTTCATTCACTAAAGAAAGTGCTTATAGCGCATAGTCTTCCAAACGCTTGTGACGTTTAGCGTCGAATAAGTGGGTTTTGATAGGATCATATCAAACTAAATGAAGCACATTAAGATAGATTTCTTAAGAAACAATATACATGACGAGTTAGACTGCCTAACCAGATCTTCATTTTAAAAAAGGATAAAATGTTTAGTTCATATATTTTTAAAAAATAGTAGTGTGCAGATAATGCTAAGTGACTCTAGTTGACAGAGCTATAAAACGTGAAGATCGCTGCAGAATAGGCAATAACAATGCAAAAAACGCAACAGAAATAATTATTTCGAGGTTCTTCATAACAAAAAGTCAAAACTAGTCACCAAGTTTTCGTCATATTCTGTTTATAATCCTGGGTTACAAAATGTCGATCAATTACTTTAAAGAACTCAAATATAACGTTAATTGGTAGTATGTCTTACTTAATGTAAAATCTGACTAGATCACCGTAAACATATCGTACTCATTTATAGAATGGACACGACGATATACTTGTTAAACCGATCAAATCTCTAGTATGGACGGAGCATGTTATGAACTGTAGCAAACATACTAAGCATAGAGTTTCACTGAAATGCGTTGACCATTGAAGTTTTTTACGGTGCATAAATAAAATATTAGGCAAAATGATACACATTGAAATAATTAAGGTCACAAATCGAGAATGAAAAGTGGATAATAAACATTAAAAGCCCAAATAAACAGGAAAAATGTAAATGTATCTGCACTATTTTAGTGTGCAATTATCAGTAATGTCTGTAATAATAATAATTTCCAAAATAAAACAGAACTTCGAAATGTAGTCGACTACGCTAAAAATAAGATTATGTATGTCAGATGTCCCAACAAACAGAATTGTTCTACCAATCACATTAAAACTTTTCACATGCTTAACATTTAGCTGCAAACCGAGTGAGGTATATTTGTTGAGGCATTCCAGAAATAATTTTTAGAAAAAACTAAAAAACTATCAAAATGAATAACAAAAATAAGTCTTAAAAGTCTCCAATCGCTTTACTAGTGCTAACCATCATAATAATATTCTCATATGTGCAGTAAAAACATTGCTTTTAACCTATAATTACTTGATGACATACTATAGCATGACGTTCTCTCACACACTAGGCTAATTCTACTATCTTTGGCCCGATGACTGACTTCTATTAAGTTTCATAAAGTTGGTATTTTCATGACATAACGAATATGTTCCTATCAAACCTCAAGTTTGAAAACCTATGACCCAAGGCTAAAACCGAGCAAAACAACGGCACTGAGTTATTTTAAATCCACGTGTCCAACTAAATAAACTCATTCTTTCGAAAGGATCGCTAATACAGAGTTACAAAGTAAATTGTTCTGTGGAAGGCATACACTATGTGTGGGAAGATGAAAATAAGTCAGTCATTATCAACTTATGTTGCCACATATCAGCATGGTAATAATTATTAAGACATGTCAGTGTGTTAGAAAAGTAACAGTATCAGCGGAAGCAGAAAAGATTGGGCACAGGAAACATGACTGAAGAAAATTAATTCGCTGAATGAAATGGATTTTAGGTTGGGATAATTTTTCCGATCTCAATCAAACAGCCTACACCTACGAACATGCATCAGTCCAACAGTCAGAGTTCATGGACTTATAAAATGTTTGATCTAACTTCCCCTTCAGCCTCCTCACAACGCATTTCCACACTGCCAAACATAGCAAGTCCAGTTAGGCTGTTGGGCATACAAAGTGCAAACCCGTTACCTTAGTTTATAAAAATTCGAAATTTCATCAATCTGTCTACAACCTCAATGTAGCACTCCGTGACTATCATTTCTTGTTCAGTGGTCCGAACAAATTCAAGTAGTACTTCAAAAATATATATGATTTGATTCCGTTAACCTACTTTTATATTTAGAAGATGAAACTTTTATAATCTAAAATATAGCCGTTTTTTCTGAACTACTGTAGTTTGGATTTTATGATGTTCTAGGAACTCTGATGTCGATATTGACTTTACAAGCTGTATACATGTAAGCAAAGCCCTAAGCTAGGTGAAGTTATGATCTTTAGTTAAATAGTCTAACGTAAAAGAAGCATTTTTAAAATGATACGAACTGTAACAACAACTGTTACCATAAAAATTTTTTTAGGATTCCTACATCATACATCAGTTCGTGATGGGAACTCTAATCCTAATAAATAATCCTAACTCCCAACACCAATTACAAACCCTACTTCGCTTTCTGCACCATGACTTTTCTCGTTTCTCATCGGTTCAGTAGCGTACACTAAGTTAACTACAATAGTTACAGACATGAGTAATGCTGACACCCTAGTGTCCAGCATGTGGGAACGAAGCTAGTGATGAGTCTTTCTGAACTCCCTTACAATGAGCACTTAAACATTTAGATCTTCCCCTTACCTTATCGTAGGCTGGACCGTAGCTGCTACCTTGACGCGGCGGTCGTGCTTGCCTATCGTGATGACCCAACCGAGCTAATATTGGCTGGAACATATGTTCCTACAGATTCCACCATGCCAGGCAGGTCGAATGGAGAACAGTGAGACTAAAAGCAGCAACTCAAGGTCTGAGGGCGAAGTCGTACTGCTGACTGCAGAGGGGTGTGATAGCAGTAAGGTGTTTCCCTCAGACAACCAGCATCTGCAGCGATGCTGCCTTCTTACAAAGGAGAAAGGGGTTAGAAAATGTCGACCTTAAAGATATCACGCCTCACCTTACCTCACTTAAATCCGTCTCCGGCGGTAAGGCCCTTTGAAGTACGGAGCTACCACATTAAAAACCCACCACGAAAAGGCCGTGTGCGACCGGCCTCAAGCAGTTGTCCCTTGGGCTCTGCGGTCACGCTCCCGGGTCGTTAGGACCAACATTAACCCATCTTCCTTTTCAGGTTCTTCAAGAAGTACCCTTCCACGGTGTGGACAGCCGGAAAGTGATATCAGCCCTCGTACCCGTAACAACACACGAGACTGACTGACCTTATCGTGGGAAGCAAAGTGACCTTATATTAGCATTACGTGTGTTTTATGATGATTTGGGTGTTAACGCGTCTTATTTTTTGCCCCTCTAAAACTGATTATGTCCGAGGAAGCAGAAAAAACGTCAAAAATCCGCGACCAAATATACTCAAGGTGGGGTTCCATTTATGTCCATAGAGTGATCAGTGACTAAAACACCTTGTTCGATCAAGTGGTATCAGTCCCATCAGCGTACCCCAATCTCCCCATTTTGAGGTCTTCCCCGAAGTCCAATCACAATTGGCAGTTTTCCCCAAAGTTTTGGGGATTTTCTAAGACCTAGGGAAATTTTGGGGTTTCTGTGCTATTTGGATATCCAAGACTCTCTTTAGCGGTTCCTCTAAAACGGAAAACTTTTCTCTCAAAATAGGGAGTTTGGGACACAAGCATTAACACACGTCCACAGACCTACTATCCTTATGACTGAGGACTAGAATGTATCAGGTCTCCCGTGTTTAGTTTCGAGAGTAAAGTTTTGACGCAACAAATATGTGCATATGTACGAATATATTCGTATATGAAATGACGTTTCGACGAACTACTGATGTTCAGTGTCTATAGATGAAATATGCCTATAATAGTATCTAAGCATATTATCATGCTGTACAGCATGATAACTTTGTGGTGAGTAATTATAATTACTCACCACAAGTCAATATTATTGACTTCGTTATCCAAAACGTCCACGACGTCAAAAAACACTTTTCGTTAAGTTTAGTGGTTGACACTATATTTTAAACAACAGAGCAAGATCAATATTACCTGATAAATATCGTTCTACCTTCTGAAGTATCGGACACCATGAGACACAAGAGGCCCTTGAAGTGTTCTCAAGGACGTACAAGGACAATGTAACGTCAATTTTTGATAGGTTGACACACGTTCCAAAATACACTTCATCCTATGTGGGGCGGCATTAGTGAAAAAACTTAGAAAGACAAAGAACAGCTAAAACATGGTTTCAAGAAGGGTTACACTTGTATAAACAACCTGCTGACTGTGGTGGACAGATGGACAAGCATCCTCGATCACAAGGGGAAGGTTGACATCATCTACCTAGATTTCTCAAAAGCTTTTGATAAGGTTAACCATACATGTCTTATCAATAAGCTCAAACGATTGGGTATCAGACCACCTCTAATCGACTGGCTCACTTCATACATGAAAAATCGACATTTTAAGGTCAGGATTAATTTCACTTTATCACAGGCTATGGAATGTCCTAGTGGGGTCCCCCAGAGCTCAGTACTAGGACCTCTTCGTTTCTTGATTTACATAAATGATCTTCCTCAACAGGTAACGTCAGACTTAGTACTTTTTGCTGATAACGTGAAACTTTGGGGAGAGATACGCAACCAAGAGTATATACTGGCACTTCAGGAGGATCTAACTCGATTTCAAAGTTGGGCAGATTACAACGAACCTACCTTTAACACTTCAAAGTGTAAAGTAGTCCATCTGTGTCATGTTGCAGATTACAGTTACAACTTAGGCGACTCCCCTCTAGAAGTATCCCAAGTTGAAAAAGATTTAGGAGTGCTGGTAACTTACGATCTGAAGTCCTACGCTAACTGTTACAAAAATGCCATTCGAGCAAATCTTGCACTGGTAACATTGGAGCGCATTTTTGGCCAGTTTGACTGAAAAACGTTCCACATAATCTTCAACAGTTTTACTCGTTCCCATTTAGAGTACGGAAACACAGTATTTCCTCCCTCACTCCTAGAAGATAAGGACACTCTGGAGCGTATCCAAAGGCGAGCCACGAAATCAGTTCGGAGACTCAAATTCAAGCTTTATGAAGAGTGCCTCCGATCATTTGACCTTTACTTATTAGAGCATAGACGTCTTAGAGGTGGCTTACAGTATCCTTAACACTTCTGGACATCCCCTTGAACGCCACTTAAGCTTAGTCCCAATATAAAACTAGGGGGTAGCACCCAGAAACTGGAGATGCAACATAGCAGAACGAACTTTAGACACAACTTCTACTCCTAAAGAGTTGTCGAATACTGAAATTCGCTGCCGACTGAGCTAGTTCAAGCGAATTCCTGGGAGTCCTTTAAGAGGAAACTTGACCTATTCTTAAGGGCTAAGGAGGACATCTTATTATGATCTAGAAATTTCGTTTTTCCCTCTATTATCGTTACTATACGTACGCTGATGCTTGGAGGTATTGATGATCCACTTGGACTAGATACGGAAGCCTGTTAAGCGAAAGCCTCCTCTATCCGTCCACAACCATTTGATACAGTTCAAGTCACGTGAGCTCCTTCACCACAAAAAGTAGACTTCCACGACACTGTGTTAAAAGTTGCGCTAGAAGAATGATAGGTATCAATATTTGTGAAGTTATGATTTTACTTGCGTGTGCCACTTGCCCGGACATAGTATTGTTTTTATATATGGCAACAGCTAACGCGTATATTCGAAAGTGACGCTCAAATGGGTAGTTATTCTAGCTTCCTTGTTCCGACTAGGTTTCTGATTTTATTGGCTCATTTAGTGATCTGCTTCTGCTCAGTTTTAAGTGATGTTAGTTTTTTGAGTTAAACTATGATCTTTCAGGGTAGAAAATCACAAAAGAACGGGATAAATTTTAACCAGTTAGCCGAAGAATATTACGAGTAGGATTTTACCCATTAAAATTACTTCAGATACATTGTTTCATTTTCTCTTTCTGTTATATTAATGCTGCTGGAACTTATCGGATTTGTAAGTGGAGCTACAATGTTTATAAATGTACATAATGTTATATGTAAGTCAGAAATAGTAAAACAAACGTCTCTGTAGCTATTTCTTGTCATTTTTCTGGTGTAATACTAACTGCACACTTTATAATAAAATGCTGGAAGATAAGTTCCTACTGGTACAGCTTTGCATTCACCATATGTTTACCACTAGTTTTGGAATGTTGGAACGTCATGTCGAAAGTTTGGTTCAGAAACAGTTTGTAATAAAGGTTATTTATAATAAGCGACTACTTTTTCAACGTTTATTTATTGTCTCTACGCAGCAATATTACATGGGCAGAGTGAATTCAGAGGTATTTTGTATGTTTTCAAAGTTTCTCTTTGTGTTTGTTTTCACCTAACGTTTAACCACAACAAGAAAGCAGACCTGTGATTACCTGTAATCATAAGTCTATTCAGTTTGGATAATCGGTTAGAGTTCATGTAGACAAAAAGTCATATTCGGGTTTTTAGAGAAAGTGCCTTTTATATACGCCTAAAAATTGTGATAGCTAACAATAAGTTCATATATATAAAACTCGACAAACTTTTGAGTATTTTGCACTAGTTTCCGAGTACCCGGCGGTCTGAAGGATGTCCCTTTGTTGTAAGATACAGTTGATGTTTTGTGACTTCAGTTTAACTCGGACTAAGACATACAGAGACAAAGCAATACAGTTGTCAGCTCTTGAAAATTCGTCAGTCAAAAACTTTCTCCTAGTATAATGTAATGAGTAAACGTACAACAAACATATTTGCTGGTTTAGTCACTGTGCTATTACGAAGCAGATACCAAATCACTCATAGTCCAAATTAAATCTGGAATAAAAGTGCATCAGCCTAAATTACTATACTACCTTGGCACGAGGTGGAATTATCAAAATGAACTTCAATCGAATCCAGATAATAATAGTATCATTTACACTAAAGTATATAAGTATTGAAAATACGGTTCGAAAGGAAATCCCATGCGGATATACGCGAAAAAAAAAGAACCCAATGCACAGAGGAATATAAAGAGTTAATGCATTTGCGATCGATTCTTAGCCATTTTGCTCAGTATCTCCAACTACTTAACATAATTACCGCTCAGACCGTCAGGAGGTATTCGGGAATAAATGAAGAGATAAACAAAACTGAGTCAGACAACGGTTCTGAGAAAAAGGTAATCCAGCCGGATGAACTGGTTCTCAGCAATACTAGAACTAACTGGATAGCTAAACTACCAGCTTTTAAATAGCTGCTCCTCCAGCCCCTTATCTGTAACTTCCAACTCATCCTTTATAGCCAGTATTCTCATAAATACGCAGGGTAGCAAATTGAAGTTAGTCGACTAAAACATAAGAATATTTTTTAAATCAGGACGACAATGATGGTGTTGTTCTCTCAATCGAATGATTTGCTTGTCAAGGTTTTGTCTTTCTGGATCACATCTTCAGCACGTACTTGAAATACATGCTCATGATTTTGCCAAGAAAGGTGATGACTTCTACTTTGGTGACTAATCTTATGTAATGAATGTAGTCTTCCAGGATTACTCGTGCATCATATTCGAAACAGAATAGACTAAATTGGTAACATAAGACCACATACAAGTAAAATACACAAACAAGCCGTAAAGAGCCTACTTCCTTTAACGAATGTGAAGTATCTGTCAATGAGTTCACTAAGAACAGCTTTACATCCTTAAGAACGACCTTGGCTCGTAATCTAGTGCCGTTTCACAGACTATTGTTTGAAAGCGATTAAGATACATAATAATAATGTTGTTGCGTCTTTTTTAAGAGCTATGGCAAATTCTAAAATATTAGATTCCGGTATATCTGAACGAATAAAAATGATATTTATCCTGTCATCTTTAAAGCTATTTTACTGTCCAGGAACGAATTCAAAGATAACCAAACCAACGATGGACTCAAATAGACCATATTACCATTATTCGTCTTTAGAAAGGGTCGACAGAGGACTGTCACTCATTCTGGAATACCTGTCTGGACTCCGATCATGCTCTAATACGAGCACGCGTTTGCTTGCGCTTCACTGGACGCAAAAAAACCACTTTAATAAGACATAGAATCGAACCCAGTGACGAGGAAGCCAAAAATAGATTCCAGGAAAAGCTGAGGTCACACTTAAATAGTTCTGAAAACGAGGCTTACCCAGATGTTGCTTGGAAAGATATACAAACAGCAGTGACATCTATTTGTGATTTATAATAAAGGGTCACAAAACACCAATGGATTTCTTCTAAGTCTAGTTCACTGATGAGTTCTAGTAAACTCATCCCATCAGGCTCTGAACACGGTGAAGAGCGAAAGCAAATCAGATGTAGGTTAAACAAAAGTCTAAGGAACGACCGTGAGCAGTGGTGAGCAACGAAAACAAAAGAGATGGAAAACGCGGGGGCTGTATGTGACACCCGACAGCTTTTCACACTAATGAAAGAAACTGGAATTAATAAGTCAAGTGTGAGACTATCTCGGAAAAAGATGACACATGTCTGCTCTCAGCCTAGACGTTTAGAACGATGGCGAAGCACTTTGAGGGGCAGTTCAACTTACCTTCAGCTACTCTACAACTACCCACCATTCTCAGACAGCGTGAATGGAACATTGAAGTAGGTGATCCGACTCTATCTGAAGTCCAGAAGTTTATAGCTAATCTGAAACGAGGAAGAGCAGCTGATTCATATGGATTGGCCCCAGCGGTCTTTACGTAGGCTGGTTCAGTTTTAGCGTCTAGGTGGACTAATATTTTTAACTAAAATCTGGGAGTTGGACGTAATCACATCTGACTGGTCGCAATAACTGATTGTCCCAATATATAAGAAGGGGTCAAAATCATCCTATGGTAACCATAGAGGGATTAGTTTAACTAATATAGCATCTAAAATACTAGCCTCAATAATAATCAGGCGCCTAAGTAAGAGTGGTGAAATGCAAACACGAGAAAATTAGGCTGACTCTAGGCGTTCTCGTCCACTGAATTCTCGGGCATTGATCTCGTACCACGAGGTCCAAGATGACATGGTCCTGTTTGGTGAAGATGTTGATAAAATTCAGAGTCTTTTGGTAGCACTGAGCAACAATGCCAAGAAGTTTGAAATGTGTTTTCCCCCTCTAAA